ACTTCGCTCTAGTGACCGAGCTCACTTGAGCTTGGAATTTTAAAAAAATAATCAAACTTGCCGGTTTCAAAAAAATCTGAAAAAAAATTGTGCAAGCAACAAGGACGTTATGTGCATGTGTGTACATTTTTAGGTTGAAATACCTTGAAATGAGATCTGTATAAAAAGACGAATTCATGGTCTGAAAGGAACAAGCCCTCAATTTTTCTACACAACCCTCATTTCAACATATTTAGCCCTGAAAATTTACACACATGTGTGTTACACCTTCATGCATGTCTGTATTTTCTTTCCAGATTTTTTGAAATGTAAAAGTATGAATTTTGATGAAATTCAAATTTTGTATTTGGAGGCCTCCATGGAGGCCGAACTCCAAAAGCAATATTGGGGTACACACAGTATAACAAAACAGTGATGGTTCTTCGATAGTTGGATTCCCCAGTATGCAGATACGTTCAGACTTGGAACACCATGGCCCCAAAAGCGTAGCCACTTTATTCCTGCAGATAGAAGTGAATATAAGAATATAATAAGTGAGACAAGATGCACATACCAACTGGTCACTGGTGCGTGCAGGCAACATGCCCCTATAAATACCTCCCTGCATCACCATCCTTTCCTCAAGCGAGCATCTAGCTTCGGCACACAAACACAACACACAGAGAACCAAAGAATCAGGAAGGAGCAAGAAGAAGATCGAGAGGCGATGGAGTACGAGCACCAGTACATCAGCAGCAGCAGCTTCGCCAAGGAGAAGAGGCCTCCGGCGAAGAGGGGCCAGGTCATGATGCAGATGGCGAGGACGCTGAGCAACCTCGTGTCGCCGAGCGGCGCCGCCGCGGCCGCCGCCGACGGCTCGAAGAAGGTGAGCCGCAACAGCTTCACGAGGGAAACAAGCTAGCTACGTGCCTGCAACTAAACGAAATATTAGATGGGTATGGTGTCTGGGGCTGGTCATGTTACTACTAGCTAGCTGTTTTTATTTTGGGAACTTTAGCAGGATGGCCTTTCAGTAGTACTGGCGCCTGTGTGATCCACCTGAATGTAACTTTTCTTGTGTGGAAATTGCTCCGGGTTATGTGTGAATTATGGACTATATTTTCAGAAAGAAAGTTGCATGTTATGGACAAACTTTTAGTGTGATACTGTGATGTATGGGCTGAGTGTATGGTCAATTAGTGTACAATCTTCAGAGATAGTAAAAGGGAATATCATCGTAAGCTATCCAATAAAGAATGGAAATGTATTGAAGAACGAATTGAAAAAAAACTCAGTTGCTGGAAGGGCAAGCTGATGTCATACGGAGGTCGGCTAGTTTTGATTAACTCAGTATTGACTAGCATGCCAATGTTTTTACTTCCATTCTTCGAAATTCCGAAAGGGGTCCGAAAGCGACTTGATTTCTTTAGATCTAGCTTCTTTTGGCAATCTGATGAGGCCAAGAGAAAATACCGTCTCGCGCGATGGGATATCCTTTGTCGACCTAAAGACCAAGGGGGCCTCGGTATTGAGAACTTGGAAATTAAGAATAAATGTCTTATGAGAAAATGGTTGTACAGGTTAGAGACAGAGCCGGAGGGCATGTGGTCTCAAATCCTGCGCAATAAGTATTTGCACTCGAAAACGCTAGCCCAGGTTACCATCAGACCGACTGATTCACCGTTCTGGAAGGGACTTATGAGAACGAAGGATATGTTCTTTCTCGTAGGGTCAAATTCTTGGTTGGCAACAGGATGTCAACAAGATTCTGGGAGGATACGTGGTTAGGAGAGACGCCTCTGGCCTTACAATATCCCACCCTCTACAATATTGTGCAACGTAAGGAGGATTACCTAGGTATCGTCTTTCAAACTATTCCCTTGAACATCCAGTTCAGATGTACGTTAGTGGGTGAGAGATGGACAACTTGGATGCACTTGGTTCGGAGATTGATTGAAGTTCGACTCTTCGACATGCCGGACTCAACACAATGAAAGTTAACTAAAAATGGAATATTTACGGTGAAATCTTTTTATACGGATCTGATTAATTCTGGCCCCTCTCAAGGTCACTACATATATGGAAGGTTAAGGTTCCTTTGCGGATTAAAATTTTTATGTGGTTTGTCCACAAGCAAGTAATACTCACAAAGGACAACCTTCTTAAGAGGCGATGAGTTGGCAATTCGCGGTGTTGTTTTTGTGCTCAGGATGAAACAATACAACATCTATTCCTTGAATGCCCACTTGCCAAGTTACTTTGGAGAACGATTCATATAGCCTTTAATATCAATCCTCCAGTAGATATTGCGTCTTTGTTTGGGACGTGGTTAGCTAGGGTTGAACAGATCACGGCAGCTCGTATTCGGTTTGGAATATGTGCGTTATTATGGGCTATATGGAACTGCAGAAATGATATGATTTTTAACAGACAACACAACTTAACTTTTTTACAGGTTATCTTCAGAGCTACAGCTTGGATCCGTACGTGGTCCTTACTCACTCATATGGACTCCAGGGAGCCATTGGTTACTGGGTGCAACCAATGGGAGATGGTGGCTCGGGTTAAATTCAACCGGTTCGGATGGCGTTCACATAACAGGATAGGAGTCTAGAGAGCTTATCCTTATTATTACCGTTTCAGTTGTCTTTGTCCGCTTGTAATTTTTCAGTTCATGTACTTTGTTTTGCTCCGTTTGCGAGCTGTAAGACCTTTACGTTAATACTTTCTGGATTTTTAATAAGAGGGCCGCATGCATCATCATGATGCAGAGGCCGGGGTATACCTCCATTTCCAAAAAAATGTGGAACCATTTGGGACCTCTTTGATTCGAAGGAATCACAATTTTGTGTGTGTGTGTGTGTGGAGAATTATGTTCTTTTAGAACTAGCTATGAGAGATCCACGGGATGGTCCGTACACATTTACAGTTATGGATAGCACTTACAGATTGCAAGAAATTATTTGAATTTGTTTCTCAACTCTGTCTACCTGTTGAAAATGGTTTGTCAGTTTAATTTATACTAGTAGTAGAAATAGAGCACATGTATTGTGCTGTGCGGCATTCAAGACGATGATATATCTGATATTTCCCAGTGATATGTTTGTGCCGTGGGTCCGTGGCTTCGCTTGCACTTCCGTTTGATGTGCACTCACTGTTATCAGCGGCTGGAATGTTCGTTTCATCGATGATTCTACTCCAAACCAATTTGTGGACTCACATGATTTGGGTTTCGATTTTTTTATGACGGGCAGGCTTACGCCGGCCCGAACCATTTTTATTATCATAAATTGGACATAGATATACCACAACGGATACAAATACAGGTCCGGCTGTAAGGAACAAACTGTACAGGGTGTAAGAAAGTCAGAATCAGCTTATGCTTAGAAAAATTCAGGCAGTCGCTGGTCAAGCTAAGGTGGTGCAGTACAGGCAACGAATCACAATCAGAGAAGATGGTAAAAGATTCCGACAACTCATTCAGCCATGTTACTAACATGATGTTAGCCGAATCATGCTATACGGACGACAACAGACGGACGATTCATGCACGACGATGTAAATCCAGCCACACATGTAGTCGACTTAAAGGGCAACAGCCGCTCGATTTCATGGTCGTGCGAAAATCGGTTGCACATGTCGTCTGTGGAGCAGTTCCGATGTTAGCCAGCAACTTTTAAGAGCATCTCCAACAACGCCCAACGCGAGGCGCGCTAAAAAGACGTTTGCAGCTCGTTGATCGCCTGTTTTGACGCGGCGACGAGCGCTTGCTCCAACGACCGCTGCAAATTTTAACGTGCGTGAATAGCTCCAGCAGCTGCGCTAAAAAGCAGCGAGCGCGCAGCCGGCGCTTGCCATATGTTGCATTTTGGACACGAGATGATATTTCAAACATCAAAACAAAACATGGCATAATTTAAATCACCCAAACAAGTTCATGACATAAAAGTGCATGCCCATAAGTTTAAATTTATGCCCACAACATCATCCAACCAAGTTCAAAATCCAAACCAATCATGACACAAAAGTTAACGCCAACGAATGGCCCATCAACAATCAAGCATCGTCCTCGTCTTCGTCTTCCTCTTTCTCCGATTCATCATCCGAAGACAATTCTTCCTCCTCCTCTTCATTGTCGCGCGCCACATCATCATGTGAAACTCGAAAGGTGTTGGCAAGATCTTCAACGGCAGCATGCGAAGATGTGTGAGGCACACCGAAAGACATTCCGCCCGGAGGTGCTCCCATGCCTCCCATGAGACACGCAAAATTCATGCCTCTCAGAGTGCGGCGTGCGGAAGCGGGCACACCAAATAAACAGCCGCGATGGCGATTCGGACCGCGCGCTTAATGCGCGTCCGCTGAAGCCCGGATATCGATTGCGCGTGCGTTAAAAAGCACAAATTTACGGCGGGGCACTTATTTAGCGCGGCCTTTGAAGATGCTCTAGGTTCCAACTAAACGAGCTTACTGATGAGTGGTTCTTATTGGTTTACATTACATTTGATTTACTTAGAGTTGAGATCGAATTGAGAGATCCTATCCTGTCATTCACCAAAGAAATGCTTCTTCTAGCACTACCTGGTCGATGCCTCGATGGACGGACAGTGGGTTCAAAGGTCAACTAGTGGCTAGTCGGCAGATAGATCGGCGATCTGGATGTCGCCCTTGTGGAAGGCCGTCCTCTGCCTGACGCTGTTTGCCGCATGGCGGTCGCAGGTCGAATTCAGGACGATGACTTCCCGGCGCCCGCGGCTTGACTGCGCGCAGCGTTGCCCTTGCAGCGGCCAGAGCTACCTCCACAGCTCTTACAGCCACGCTGGGACGCAAGCACGCGCCCCCTTGCTCGACGAGGTGCTTCCAGGTGGCCATTCTGTGTCTGTGGGGGCAGCGATAGGTGGCGATGAAGGCGGGAAGGCGTCATGCCTGCCTCTCGCCAGGGAGGTCGGCGTCCGGGCGGCAGCCGGCGGGGGAGGCAATTTCATCGTCTCGCCGCTGTCCATCCACGCGGCGCTCGCGCTGGTGGCCGCCGGCACGCGGGGCGAGACGCGCGAGGAGCTCCTGGGGTTCCTTGGCTCGGCGTCGCTCGACGAGCTGCACGGCGCGTCGTCGACGGATCTGGCTGGCAGGCTCAACGGCCTGGCGCAGACGTCGTTCGCGTGCGGCGTGTGGGTCGACCGCGCGCAGGCGCTGGAGCCGGAGTTCATGGCCACCGCCGCGTCGAGGTACGCTGCCACCGCGGAATCGGTGGATTTCTCCTCGGACCCGGAGCAGGCGAGGCGGCGAGTGAACGGCTTCGTCGCCGGCGCGACGGACGGGCGCATCCGCGACGTCCTCCCTCCCGGCTCGGTCGGCTCGTCCACGCGAGTCGTCCTCGCCAACGCGCTCTACTTCAACGGGACGTGGTCCCAGCCGTTCGACCAGTCGGCGACCTTCACCGCGCCGTTCCACGTCCCAGACGGCACCATCGTGCGCGTGCCGTTCATGACGACGGGCCGGTTCCCGTTCGAGCAGCACGTCGCCGTCTACCCGGGCTTCAGGGCCCTCAAGCTGCCCTACAAGAACGACGGCGACCACGCGGGGCGGCGAGCCGAGGCTGCATTCTACATGCTTCTCCTCCTCCCGGACGGCGCCGCTCTCGGCCTCGCCGATCTCTACGACAAGGCGGTCGCGACGCCGGGGTTCATCAAGAGCCACACGCCGGGGGTCCAGGTCCCGGTCGGGCGGTTCATGGTGCCGAAGTTCAAGTTCACGTTCGAGTTCGAGGCGTCGTCGGACATGCGGAGGCTCGGGGTCACCAGGGCTTTCGAAGGCGGCGACTTCTGGGGCATGGTGAGCGGCGGGGATGGGCTCTTCATCGCGGGCGTGTACCATAAGGCCACCATCGAGGTGGACGAGCTGGGCACCGTGGCCGCCGCAGCAACGGCCGTGGCGATCCAGGACAGTGCAAGGGCGCCACGGCCTCCGGTGGATTTCGTGGCGGACCGGCCCTTCTTATTCGCCATTGTCGAGGAGAAAACCAGCGCAGTACTGTTCCTTGGCCATGTGATCAATCCTCTCGCTGAATGAGCAATTGACTCTCGGATTTGGCCTTTGGGAGTGGGTATAAAGATTTCCGTTGAACCCAGCTCGTGTGTATTTTCGTGAAATGTGGTGTGATATGTCAACATTGTTCTGGATCGCATCTGGATCGCATCTGGATGCCCCCGCGTCGTCCTCCTCCTAGGGCGACTCGGGCGGCCAGAAACCTAGCCGCCGCCGCCGCAAACTCCCTCCTCCTCTCCCTCCGTCGCCGCCGGAAGACGCCGCCGGGCTAAGCCCGGGGGCCGACGGCGGTGGCGTGGGATCTCCTCTCCCGTGCGTATCCGGGGTGGGGCGGACCCCAAGGCGTGTGGTGGTGCGACCGATCTGGGATCTGCGGCGCGGCGGATGGCTGCAGGCGGCGGGAGGCCGGCCCGTCCTCGGATGGCGACGGCTTGGCGCGGCGGAGGCCAGGGCTGCGGGCGCTGCTGATGGCCCTTCGGGGGGCGGCGGCCGGCTTGGCTGCGGTGGCGTGCATGCTGTCTTCAGATCGGTGATGGCGGCGTGGGGGGCCTGGTGGTCTCGTCGGCGGCACCTTCGATCAGATATGTTCTGACCGGTGCAGCCGGCGATGGTGGTCATCTCTTCCGTCAGAGGTGGTCGGCTGAGGCTGGGTGTTCGGATCTCGGGATCCGTCATCTGGCACCAGCTGCGAGTCGGGAAGACGTAGTTGCCGGTGAAAATCGAGCCGACGGCGGGCGATGGCGGCGTTCCACGTCGTTACCTTGATGAAGGCATCGTCATGTGACTACCGTCGACCCACTCGTATTGCTCCGGGGGAAACCCTAGGATCTGGTGTTCCAGACCGGACGATGGCGGCACTGCGGTGTCGTTTCTCTCTTGGGAGCATCGTTTTGTGGAGCTGCGCTGGAAGTCAGAGGCAGGAGGTGGAGCGGCTTCGTCTTGCACGGAGCTTCGGTGGAGATGTCAAGTCATGCCTGACCGACAGGTGCTACGCTTGGTCATGCCTGGTCAGCAGGTGCTACGCACGACGGATCCTCCAAGGGCTTCAAGCTGTGTCGGCTGGTGGTACTTGGCAGCATGGCGCTGAGGTGTATCAGTGGCGACCGCGACGTGTTCAGCTATTTGCGCGCAAGGAGGAGGTGCCGTTGGGCGTCGTGGTGGCGTCGACGATAGCTGGACCGAGCAAGGTTGATGCATCAGTACAGTTCTGAAGATGGAGCGGTGGCAGTCGGCGGCGGCGGCCTCTGAGAGCACGCCGGACCAGTGTGCCCCAGACCCGGCAAGTGGCTAGGTTGGGGTCTCAGGTCTTAGATGTTAGGCTTGACTGTGATGTCTGTTTGCCCAGGCTATCTGCGCCCCTTCATCAATTGGATAGGTGTAGCGACAGTTTTTTGCTTAGACGACGGCTTTAGTCTTATTGTTGTATAACTTTGTAAGGTCTTGTGAGAATAATTAATAAAGTGACCGTATGCATCGCCCAGATGCAGAGGCCGGGAGCCATCCTCCTTTTCTAAAAAGAAAATGTCAACATTGTTATGTACTCCTATGTTTCTTCTGATCATCATGATTAATTTATGTTCCCTCGTCTACAAACTTCTGTTGGACAAGTTTAGGCCTGCAAAACCCCATTGGTGAATAAGCTCTCTCTCTCTCTCTCTTCTCTCTCTCGCGCGCGGGGATGGTGAATAAGCTCTGTTCACGGGGACACTAATTTCATTTATTTATTTATTTTATCAAAGAAGGGTTTCCTCCTTCCGATTTTCATTACTGAAAACCAAACTTGTAGGATCAAAGTTCAGACCTGGTAGCAGCATAGTTCCATACAAACCCAACACACCCAAAAGCCTCACAATTTCATTTAGTTTTACTGGCTATCACATCAAATTAACAGAAACTGTACCTGATTGAAAGGTTTTATCAAGATCTAGTACACAATTACGACAATAATAGACTGTATTCAACACTTCCTTGACCAATTTTGGTCCCTTCAGTCAGAAGCATTTTCCAGGATTTACAGCGTACGTGTTCTTCCCCCTTCTTTTTAACTGTTTTATTCAGTCATGTTAACAAATCTTGTATTTGTCACATCTTCCCATCTTAATGAAATTAGTTACAGCCCGTGCCTTTCTTTTAGAATTAGTGTATTTTCCACTGCTGGTCATCAGGGGCTTTTGGTATCTGGAAATGTGGCAGCAAGTTGTGACACCTGAGATTCTTCAAGCATCTACTCCTCGATCCACCCACACGTGCAACTTGTCAACAAGTTGAGCAACAAGCTAGAAGCCTGATATAAACCCATTTATCAGTGAAAAGCGACTTGTCACGAGGAAGATGAACATCCAACTTTCCTTGTACACTTGTATTTTCCTTCCATAATTCTCCTATTTCTTCCCCAGAAAATTAGGGCTTTGTCTGAAGTGCTAGTTGACCCTCTAGAGTGAGGGGTGTGCTAGCAAGTTCCACATATATAAATATCTTCAAAATGAAGTTCCATGTAAATATCTTGGAAAGGAAAGGAAAGCTCTGTGCTATGGTCTTGTTGTAATTTGGTCGACAAAGATTTTGTTCACTTTATCGCAAATATGTTTCAGATGGGAGAAAGGAGAAAGTGCAAGCATCTGAATCATTTGTGACCATGGCATTTCATTCTGCAGACGTGATAAGAAGCGAACAAGGTGCACGTGTAGGCCAACTTGTGCAAGGCAGAGGCAACATGCGTACGCCTATAAATGCCTTGTGACACCCGCTCATCACATCCTCATCCCCTCCTCAAGTGAGCACTTGGACTACCCACGCAATACAATTACACAACGCAGAAGAAGCAGAGAGGAGGAGCAAGAAGGAGATCGGCGGCGATGGAGTACGAGTACCAGTACAGCGGCGGCGGCGGCGACGGCGGCAGCTTGAGCAAGGAGAAGAGGCCTCCGGCGAAGAGGGGCCAGGTCAAGCTCCAGATGGTGAGGGCGCTGAGCAACCTCGTGTCTCCCAGCGGCGCTGTTGACGGCTCGAAGCAAGCCAATCGCAACAGCTTCAGAAGGGAAATAAGCTAGTACAGCTGAGCAAAATGCATGGTAGATGGGTATGGTGTATGTGTGTGTGGGGCAAGGTGCTGTTTTCTTCTGAGAATTTTAGCAAGATAGTCTCCAGTGGCGGAGCTTGATGAAGATTGTTGAGGGGGCTAATCTGAGTTGAGAGGGTGAAGAAGATAAGTTATATATGAAGCTCCGCCACTGATAACCTCTCTGCTTTTACGTGGAGAACCTGTTTGATCCACTGTACTATTACTTGGGGTCTAATGTTATATACAAACCTTGGGTGTGCATGACATCAAGGCTTGCTTGAGTAGCTCATCTTTCAATTATCTAATCTCTCAGGTTGTTGCAACTTGGAAGAGGCAAAAATGCAAATGTGAAGTGAAAAGTTCCAATTACCTAATCTCTCGCATTCTTTATTTTATTAACTAATCTCTTACATTCTTGGAAGAGATAAATGCAGATATGAAGTAAAAACCTCCAACCTAGGGTTACTTTTTTGTTTTTGAAAATAAACCTGGGGTTCCAAGCTAGGTCTCCAAGCTATTATGATGTAAAAGGCTTCAGTTAACGAATCAATATGGTTCTTCCAAGCAAGCCCATGGGTTTTCAAAAGAAGTAGACCTGGTTTAAATATTCATCGGTTCAAGTACTATATAAAATCTGCATGATTCCAATCAAAGAAGATGACATTTGTTATGCCATCCGTGCCAAAAGAGGTGTCATGGTTTTAGTTCACTTATTTTGAAACGGAGGGAGTAATTTAGAAGACCTCTCTTCGGATAATATGATGCTCAACATTAACGGATTAGGGTAATAGAAAAGATAAAGTATTGCTATCTATAAGCTGTAAATAGAGAATGGTTGTATAAAAGAATGACTGTGTACATACCTAAGCCGCGAGGTTTTGGTTTCCTTTAAAAATATGTAAACAAGGGGGAAAAGTAGAAAAATTCAAAAGCAGTATTCACAATACTTGGTTTTTCAATATCGAGGTGCTTGAGTGTGTGCAGGTGCCATCGGAGGTTGAAGAACAAGTTGTCATTGTTGATCTCACGGAGGATGTCGATGGATCAAAGCCGACGCAAAGGTTTGGGGGACGTTTCTGGATTCTTGCTGATGAGGACGAAGACGAGGTTGATCTGCCCGGAACGTCGGCCCGGCCGTCAACTTCGCTTGGCTTGGTTTCATCTATCCCCGTGCCTAAACCTACGGTGAGTAGCAAGAAATCGATTTTGCTAGGACCACCAGTTCTTCCGCAGAAGTCGAAAGTGAAACTGTGGTGTGGTCCGTTGCCGAAGGTTGGGCCGAAGGATATCACCTTGTCCGACTTTTTCCGTCCCGAGTGCTGGACGAAAGTTACTAGGCGGAAAAGAAGGGGGGTCGAACGGTGCCGCAACGATTGCCGGTGGTGGCCGATGGTCGTGATATTCGGGCGAATAGACACACGCGTTTGAATTTGCTTTTGGGCACAGAAGGGCCGCACGTGATCGACGACGCTGTGGGCTTGGCTAGTACTGGGCTCGAGGCCCAGGGGGCTGGCCAGGCTTGCGATGCGCCGGGAGCAGGCGACATGCATGTGGAGGCCTCGAGTCGATCTCCCCCGCATGCACGTTCCTCTCCTTCCCCTCCTCGCGCGGCTAGGGTACGCCGTAGAGGAAACCCGGGTTCCCGATCGCCTCTTCGCGCCGTCGTTCTCCGCTGCTCGCCGGCGGTGCTGATCGCCGGTTGCCTCCGGGACCGAGTCCGGCCGAGATGCCACCTAAGCCGCCACCGCCGTGGGCTGCGCCGGCTGCGCGGAACCAGGTCGGGGCCGCAGGAGCGACCGCTCAGGCTACGGCGGCGACCGCGCCAGGTCCCGCTCGGGCTGCGCCCCCGCCCCGGCCGACCCACCTGCCGTCGCGGGCGCCGGCTCCGCCTAGGGTGGTGCCACCTCCGCCGCCGGCTAGGGCACTGGCTCTGCCTCCGGCTAGGGTGCCGGCCCCGACTCCGCCTAGGGCGCAGGCTCCGCCTCTGGCTAGGGCCCCAGTTCCGCCTCGGGGGCCGCCTCCTCCACTTCCCGTGCCTAGGGCTGCGCCGGCGCTGCCACCTAGGGCCGACCCGCCGCCGCCACAATGGCCGTGGCCGAGGCAGATGGCGGGAGGCCGCGGTGGCTCGGGCCAGGGTTCGACCGGCCACGGGACGGGTGCGTCCGCGGGAGATGACCGTAAACCCCCGCGTGGTCAGTGGGGCGACGATGGATATGATGCATATGGCGCTGGTCTGCACCGGGGTTCTTCGTCCACCGGAGGGGGCCGTGGCTATGCTTGGGTGGACAACAGCAATGATAACCGGGGTTTCCAAGGACCGCCTGGCAACTTTGTCGAGGGTGCGGTTGGCCCTAATAACCGAGCTTTCCGAGGACGTTTTCGCGGAGGTCGGGGCGGGAACCGGCGGCACCACCCACCAAGGCATACGAAGACCGCTACCGCGACGGAGGTGGCTGACGGTGCATCGGATCTACCGCAGGTGGCGGTGGAGATGGTGCAGGCTTTGGCTGCAGTCACTTTGCCGGAGCCCATGCAGACTGGTGATTCTGGTTTTGAGCAAGGTATGGACAAGGCCGAGGGTGACAAGCTGTCTAAGTGGGCGGCTAAAAAGAAGAAGCTCACATGTTTCCGTTGTGGGGAACCGGGACACTTTTTGGTTCAATGTACTGCGGTGTTATGCGATTTGTGTCGGAAACCTAAACATACAGCTGCCGAGTGTCCTCTGATATTGGGGCCCAAACCGTCCGTTCAGATATACGGGGTGTGTTGTTCGGAGGTGATGTTTTTTGAGTCTCCCAGTGTGGAACCCTCGGCTCCCGTGGTGGAAACCTCCTTCCCCGGTGTGGTGAAGGTGGTTCATGGACCGTTGACCGAAGCGCAGATCATTCAGCAGTTGAGAGAGCTTGCTCCGGGTAATTTTCAGTGGTCCTTACTTAAGCTCACAGATAATTCTTTCAAGGTGGATTTCCTGTCTAAGGAGGATCAGCTGAGAATCCTCAAGTTTGGTATGAGCAGGGTCACGGGTACTAGTTATGTGTTGCAGTTTGATGAGTGGAAAAAGAAGGAGTCACAGGGCACACCGTTAACTCAGATCTGGGTTCGTTTCTCTGGAGCTCCGTCTGCCCCTCTGGACAACTTCTTGGTGACGTGGAGCCTGGGTTCTTTGATTGGCAAGACTGAGCAGGTGGATATGCAGTTCATACATGCTCACGGGGTGGCACGTCTACTTGTCAATGTAGCTAACATTGAGTTTCTGCCAGATGTGGTGCCTTGGACACATGTAGGTGTTCTGTATCAGTTGGATGTTGAGTATGAGGATCCTAATCTTTTCAGTGAGTTTGAGGATGATAATCCCATGGACACTTCTAAGGGCGGAGGTGCTTCGGGGCACCAGGATGATAATGCTAAGAGTGATGATGATAAGGCCAAGGGGCCTTCGGATCCGTTTGACTCTGGTGACTCTGTTCCTGTTGGGTCCACTGGTACAGTTCCGACTACCACTCTTCAGCTTGGTTCGTTTGGGGCGTTCTCGGCTCCGCCTAGGCTTTGGTGAGTCTGTATAAGACGAAGCAGGTTGAGGAAGGAGGTGCCGCGGGGCAGGAGGCCCTGCCCTCTTCTCTTACCTTTCCCTCTGCTTCGGTCGAGGTGGATGCGCCGGTAGTCGCGTTTGGAGGTGACGGGCAGGAGGCTCGGCCCTCTGAGCCCCTGTCGCCGTCGACGCCGAGGGCCTGCTCGGCGCTCACGCCCCTGAGGTCCGCGACTTGCGGAGGAGAGAGCATGCAGGAGGCCGCCGCTTCCCCTATTGCTGCTTTGGAGGGCGGGCCAGGTGGTCTGGCCGTCTCGTCACCGCACTCCATGGATCGCCCTCTGCTGGTTTCGCCAGTCTCGGGTCTCGGCGGGACTTCCGTGGATAGGCCAAGGACGCTTTCGTCGTCTCTGGATGATGTTCCAGTGGTCCCAGCGTAGGTCACCGCTGTTGGGGGACAGGCAGGAGGCCTTTCCCCTAGCATAGCTTCGCACGAGGAGGTCATCGCTTTCGGCGGGATCCCGGATCCTGTCTCTGCGGGGAGATGGGTCAGCGGGAGACTGCAGGAGCAGCCGGACGTGGATGACTTGCAGCTCAGGTGCGCTATGAGGGCGGCCAAGCTGCGTGACGTCAAGTTCTCCACTAGTATGTCTGTTAATAAATCAAATTCTATTATGCATTTTACCAATGATGAGATTGCGCATAATGCGAACCAACTAGGAGTATCACTTGGTAATAATGATTTAGAGATTGCTAAGTCCGTTAATGATATGCTTGACTTGGAAGCTGAACGAGCGTTAGATATGATTCGTAACATAGCTGCCGTTAAGCCTATGAATTATTCGGAGATTGATGCGCTTGGGGTTAGGGATCTTGATGGTTTGTGTGCCGATCTTGACCCTACATTACCGGAGATGGAGGAGGAGGAGGAGTATGCCTATCCTGAAACCTCTAACCATGATGATGAGTCTTTGGTGATGGCGGCAGAACCCGAGTGTGGTGACCCTTCTGTTGTTTGCCCTAAGCCTAAAAAATTTCATGACGAAATATGAGAGGCATTTTTTGGAATAGCAGAGGTCTTAAAGACTTGGCTAAAAGAAGGTTTCTAGCGGATGCTTCTCTTGAACATCATTTAGATTTTATTGCTTTGTCGGAGACTGGACGAGGCAATTTCACTCCACAATTTCTTAGCACTTTATCTGGGGGGGGGGTAGATTTTGACTGGCATTGCCTCCCTCCTCGAGGAAGATCCGATGGTGTTCTACTTGGGGTTAAGTGTGAAACTTTGGAGGTTCGGAGTGTTGTTTTGGGTGAGTTTGCGGTAAAGTTTCGGGTCAGAACTAAAGCCGATGGATTTGATTGGGCTTTGGTGGCGGTCTATGGAGCCGCGCAACCAGAACTCAGGCTAGATTTCTTGGCCGATCTGGTCCGTGTATGCGGTAACGAGCAGATACCCATCTTAG